CATACACATGCACCCACACACCCCCTTGCACTGCCATACATGCACACCCCCACACCTCATCATTCACCCCAGCCACCCTCCCCCCACAAACATACCCCCACAAACCCCATACCCACCCACACCCCACATACCCACATACCCACAGCCCCCCACAAACCTGTATGCACCCCCCACGATATACTAGAGTAAGACTTCATTTTAAGCTATTGTGCAATCACCTCTATGTACACTACACAATCACATGTAAATTAGGACAAAAATATTTGTCAATAATCAAATTAATGAATGCTGTAGATGTTTGCTTTTTAGAATATAATCTTGTTCCAAAATGGCAAAACCCCATAGTAAAAGGAGTACTTCTGGGGGCAAAGGGAGGGATTTTGGGTGGCAAAGGTCAGGGGTTAAGAGGTTGGACTTCCGATCACAAGATGGTGACCAGGAGGTGGGGCACCTGTCAAGGGGTGGGACTACTCATGCAGCCCTCGACAGCTTGCCAAAACTTGGTAAGCAGCCCTCCACACAAAATAATTGCCCGCCCCTGGTGTACACCTTCCACCCCTAATTTTCTATGATTCTCTCAGAGTTTCCAGTGTAAATGAGATCAGAATCAGAACCTTTATAAGGTATATAACAATATAAAAAAATACTATTTTTTAGACAAATGCACTGCCAGGAGTGACCAGGAATAACAGTCACAAGCTGGCAGAGGGTAGATTCAGACTAGACATCAGGAGGCGCTACTTCACAGTCAGGGCAGCTAGGATCTGGAACCAGCTTCCAAGAGAAGTGGTGCTGGCTCCTACCCTGGGGGTCTTTAAGAGGAGGCTAGATGAACACCTTGCTGGGGTCGTTTGACCAGAGTACTCTTTCCTGCCATGGCAGGGGGTTGGACTAGATGATCTACTCAGGTCCCTTCTGACCCTAGAAACTATGAAACTATGAAACATGTCTAATATAATCAGGGAAATTCTGGGGAAATCTCTGTCTCATACACAGAGAGGGAAAAGAGTCCAATACCTTAACAGTTAAAAGCTTCTCTGGTTTTGGCCTCTAATAACTCTGTCGTGTGGCGCTGATGCTGCTTAGGAAATTCAACAATCATTATGCTCAAGATGAAATTTGGAACAGGTAATTTTAGTGGAATGAAAGTTACCATGTAGACCCCATCCAGCATAAAATAATAAAAAAGAAGAGTTTAGATGAGCATAGATGAAAATGATTACACTTCTTTAAACAAACAACTATTATTACTGTTGTTAGGGTAGCTAACAATTTAATCCAGGCTGGTTATGTTTACAGTCACCCAAACGCAAAAAAGCTAAATGCACTACGTACCATATTCATTATAGTGAGGATGTAGGATTCCACATTGTCACTTCCATGGTATTCAATCATCTTACTGTCTGCAACTACAAGTGTCTCCACCCATCGCTCCTTGCTGACAGAGCGCCGAGAGAGAGTTTTGGCTGCCACATGGTTTCCTTCCCACCTTTCCCTCCGATGCTCTTGGTGTTTGAAAAAGCTGAATGTATCTGAAACACCAAGCATAAGGCATTGGTTTCACATTAAATTGGTGATGGCTTCAGTGTGCTTCAGGATGGTTTTAGATTTTAAAGTGTATTGCTATAATCCTTGGGCCAAAATTCTACAATCTCGAACCAAACTTTACCAAAAAATTAGTTATATCTGAATATTGGGTAATGTCATAAGGACCAAGACTAACCACACAATTTGGATCTGACTGCACCTTTAGACCACCATTTGTGGCATTTAGCCTCTGTGGGTTATATTTTAGCTGCTATCTAATGCAAACAACTCTTACCACAAAATAACTGATATGCTCTTCCCATTAATACCCACATACAATCCCTGTTCTTAACAGGCTGGAGAGTTACTTTGAGTGCTCAAGGCATGTGCTTTTGTCAGGGTGGGAACAGTCACAACTGGAATGCAGAGTGGGGAAACTACTTCACCAGCAGGTGGCACTCACATACCAGTGCTGGGGAGAACAAATGATTAACTTAGGACTGGAAGGAGCTACAGAACCATGGAGTCCAGTCCCCTGCAATCATAAGCAACCATTTGTTTGGAAGTGGCCACCAGCACCACTGTTCTGGCTCTTCTTACACACCACAGCACAAAGCATCCTATAAAAGAACTCCCAACTCCTACAACTTGCTTCAGAAAAAGAGCAGAGGCCTGAGGGCTTTGAAAGGCAAAGCAGCATTAGCAGAGAGATTTGGGTAAAGTCAATACACCCAGCTTTGAGGAGAATGGGGCCCTTGTGGCAGTGTAAGGTGTAAGGTGCCCTTGTGGCAGTGACAGAAGGCACACTGCTAGCAGATGGACACACTGTGCAAACCGTGCCACAAACTAAATACATAAAACTATCAGTCTTGTCCCAAAAAGATTACTGTCCAAAGTGCATTACCCTGTTCTCCAAGCACTAGTCAGTGAGTGGAGGGGAACATTCCCTAGCCATATGCCCAATCAACCCAGTTCACAGCAGGAAATGGGTTAATAGAACTTGGACTACCACGTCCTGTTCCAGTAGACAGCCCTTGCGTTTAAGCAGCCCCATTCTGTCCACATCCTGCATGGGAACAATATGGGGGAGACTGCGCTCCTCACACTTTCTCTTCTCCAGGAGGTCTCTTCAGAGTCAGGCAGAAGGCAGGATAGATGTGCACCTTATAGACTAATTAAATCAGAGATACATACGCTTTTGTAAAAAGCAGGTTACTTCATCAGACTTCAGGAACCAGAGTTTCTAAATAGAAAGCAGTGATTAGAATACAAAAGGTAGGAAAGTGGGGGGAGAAAAGAGGCAAGGTGGGTAGAAGAGAGAAAAAGAAAGCAGTTCACAACATCTAATGAAATAAGCCTGCTCCTTTAAAAAGGTTATGCTATACTTCTCTGATTTAGGTAATCTATAAGGTGCAAGTCTGCCCTGCCTTTGGCCTGACTTCAGACTCACATGGCCAGACACTATCTCTATTCAGCATCAGCCAAAACATCCTGGCTGCATGTTTTCATGTGACTATGGTATGCCCAGATGTTCTGATTGTTCACAATGCATATATGTCATTATAGTACAAAGTCGCTTATATTAGGGTTACCATATTTCCAGTTGCAAAAAAGGGCACATCTGTCATGCAGGGGGAGGGGGGCATGTGGCAGGGGGGAGAGGAGGAGTGATAAGCCAGTGCCCTGCCTGTTTTGTTGCCCCTCACTCCCAAACCACCCATCCACCCCCCTGTCCTGCTGCTGCCCCTCACTCTCGACTCACAGACCCCAGTCCTGCCAGTCCCCTTCAATCCCAACCCTCAGTAACCCTAACCCGCTAGGCCATGCTGGTGCCCCTGACTCCCAACCCACAGCCCCCCCATCCCTGCTAGTGCCCCTCACTCCTGACCTGCAACCCCCTGGCACTGACAGTCCCCAGCCCTGCCAGTGCCCCTCACCCCTGACCCTCAGCTTCGTGCCCCTCCCAGCCCTGCAGTGTCTCCCAGCCACCCCACCCCTGCAAGCAAGGGCACCAGCCCCAGTGCCACTGGCTGGGCCATGCAGCTCCCTGCTGTCCCCAGAGGGCCCCCCCACCCTCTTCCCCCGGTAGAGGGGCAGGCACCTCCTCTGCCCCACTATAGCCTTGGTGCCCAGACAGCTTCCCCCAGCACTGGAAGACCCCCTCCACGCTCCCCCCATTCCTTCCATAACCCTGCCACACACACATACACACACGCATCAGTCCCCAAGCCCTAGCCCTCCAACCCACTGACTTACCTGTATCCAGCTGCTGGGCTGCTCCCGCCCCCTGCCTGGCTACATGCCGGCCACATGAGCCCTGCCTCCAATCGCCCTCCCCACAGCCCCAAGCAGCTCCTTCCTAGGGCAAGCCGGGAAGTGGCAGGAAAAACTTTGAAGCTTAGCTGACCAAAATCCCAGACATTTGATTATATTTTAAAAACTGCCCGGACTGGGATCAGAGGATCTAAAAAGAAGACATGTTCAGGAAAATCCTGAAGTATGGTAGCCCTAAATTATATTACATTTATGGAATAACTAACATCAGTCCAGCAGATGTGCAAGCCTCTACTAAAGACAAGAAAGACATGCAAAAACAATTTCATGCAAAATAAACCCCAGTTACAATTTGATTGCATCTCTGCTTAGAAGTTTGCTTTCTGGGATTAGGAAGAAGCTGTCTAGGTAAACTAAGTTTTGTCATTATTTATGGAGTATTTAATAGAGTGAAACAACCACGTTGGTACTCATTTAAGAAACCAAAAGAAGTTATAAAGGATACATTACTGAAATTACTATTATAACTATTAGTGGTAGTATCGGTATTATTAATAATAGTAATAATGATAATATTAATAATAATAATAATATGATCCAAGGCACATACAATAGCTACCTTACATATGGATATTCTCCACAGCTTTTGGTATTGCTACAATACACAAATATTCATTATAATGCACGTGTACTAGTTACTGCACTACTATTATTTATAACATGTGTTACAGTAATACTTAGATTTCTTTAATAGAATCAAGATGAATGTACTGGAAATGAGACAATTTTTCCCCACAGAGCATACTACATGGTTATTATTACCACACTTACCCAAATCCATGACAACTTTGAATTTATATTTAATTATATACTTAATCCATTATAATTTTCCAAATATATGGAATTAATCTAATTATTGGAGTCTTGTCGCTCCATTTTAATCAAATCATTTTAAATTTGTCCCAACCATGGGGAGGAGGGGGCTAGATAAGCATCCTGATCCTCGCACCTTGTTCCCCTGCCTCCTGTAACCTATCCCCCATTACTTGCCCCATGTCCACGCCCCTGCCAGATGCCCCCCACGCAATCTCCAACTCACACTGCTGCCTGAATCCCCATTTGCACTGCTGCCCCAGCCCCTCTGACATACTGCTGTTACATTCCCTAACCTGCGTATAGCAGAGTAAGAGTGGATTATGCTCTGTGCCTCTCCCCCGGCCCTACGTGTTCCTCCCAGCATAGCAAGAAACAGAGAGATTGATGGTGGCTGGATGAGAAAGAAAACCCAGCCCTGAGAAGAACTAAGAGAAGCCCCGGGGGAATACTCTTACCTAAGGGGCAGCTGACTGTCAGCTGGCAAAGAAGCCAGCAGATTGGCCACTGGGGGCTCCGGCAGGAATATAAGAAGTAGCTGTAGGGACTGGAAGAAGAGAGAGAGAAAGAGAGAAGTGGCCAGGCTGCAACACTCAGGGACCGGGGGGTAAGAGGAGTGTAGAGGACCCTGTTCTTTTGTTGAATCTATTTCCTGTTGTAATTCTGCTGGATTGTGGAGGGCGTGGAGGGATGGTGGAGCTCTCAGCCAGTGGTGCCCTGCTGAGATGCACAAGGCAACTGCACTTGCAAGTTTGACCAACCCATAAAGGGACAGGCCCTAATGTGGAATTGAGTTTGGACTATAATTCCTGAGCGTGAATCCTGCCTATAAAGGGATTACAAGCCATCACAATGAGCTGCCTCCTGTTCTGTAATCATAAATTCAACATCAAGTCATGGCAGGAAAGCAGATATTAGAGGCAGTGACCTCTCTTGGCCAATTTCAGTCTAGGGGTACCCAGGTATAGGCACCTCCCCAACACTGTCACATTCTGGTGCATTGGCTGGGAGCAAAAACCCTGCTTAGATGAAGCAACACTGACTGCTGCAGGGAGCATGGATACAGCAAGAGGCCATGCTGCTGCAGGGAGCATGGCAGATGCAAGAGGCCATACTGCAAATCTTGCAGGGGACACAACAACAAAGAGATGAGGTACTCAAATTGAAGGTAAAAGAGAATGAGGCCCACAAGCTGCTGTTTGCCCAACAGCTGGCTCTCAGCGTGAAAGCTGCTGGAGTGCTCGGAAGAATGGAGGAATTCCGCATGCCTCGGATAATGCCCAGGGATGACCCAGAGGCATATCTCGAGGCATTTGAGAGGATGGCCACAGAAGCTGGATGGGATAAAGCCAAGTGGGCCTATTAGCTGGGTACCCTACTAATAGATAAGGCACAGGCAGCGAACAGAGAGCTGTCACAGGAAGAAGCTGGGGACTACCAAACAGTAAAAGCAGTGATCTTGTACCAACTGGAAGTATCCACAGAAAATTACAGGCTGAGATTTCAGGAGAAGACAATGCCAAATGAGAAATGACCCTGGGTTCTACTTCAGCTCTTCCAGGACCTGGCGTGGAAGTGGTTGAATCCCGAACAATGTAACTTGGAAGTGGTAATTGATTTAATAGTGTTGAAACAGTTTATTGGTGACTTGGAGGAAGGAACCCAACAATGGGTGTGATGGCACCAGCTGCAGTCAGCAGCAGAAGCACTGAAGATAGCAGAGTCCTACATAGAAGTGGAAAAAGGTACACACCAAGAGAAGGGCTCAAGGCCCTATTTGGCTATAGGCTGGGGAATTGCAGAACCTTGTTCAGGGGGAATAAGATGGGGTGGAAGGGCAGCTTGGCAAGAGATGATA